AAGAAGAAGAAGAAGAAGAAGAAGAAGAAGAAGAACAGCAACAACAACAACAACAACAACAACAACAACAACAACAACAACAACAACAACCATCCAACCAACCAACCGACCAACCAACCAACCTTAATGTAAATCTCCTTGAGGTCTTTCAGATACTTGGGCTCCCCTGTGTAGCGTGAAGGATTAGAGGCCAGTTTGATCATATCGTCCACAGCGGCAGTGTTGTTCAGGTCAAAGATCATGAGAGATTTCATGAGCATCTTCACTGAGTAGACATAATGCTCAACCTGATGAGAAAATAATGACATTTATCATAAGAGGCAATGAGGCCCTATATTATAAGTATTATAAGAGAGGGCTGTATTGTTGTCTTGAGGTTTGAAGTTCATTTTTTGTTGTGGCTTTTTGCTGATTTGTTTGCTGGCTTTCATCTTTTTTTTGTGGTGGGGGGGGGATGTGTTTGTTTGTTTGTTTGATTGTTCTTTGTTTGTTTGTTGTTGTTATTGTTGTTGTTATTGTTGTTGTTGTTTGTTGTTGTTTTTTGTTGCTGTTGTTTTCTTTTCCATCTGCTTACAATGATGAAAAAGACCAGTAGATTTACATCAGAAAAAAAACACAGTTGTTGCACATGTACAAGTAATGCTTCTTTCTGCCCCTTTCATTTCACTCTCTTCCCCCCATTTGTCTGTCTGTCTATCTGTCTGTTTGTCATTTTGTCTGTCTGTCTGTCTGTCTGTCTGTCTATCTGTCGTCTGTCTGTCGGTCTGACTAAACACTTTGCTATCGACGCCACTTCTGGAGTATAAAAACAGTAAACAAAGGTAAAGTTTCTATCGACGCCACTTCTGAAGCAGATCTATATATTACAGTACACAAAAGGGAACGTTACTAAAAGGAAAGAGTCATAACTTTCTTTTACCTCATTGTTAATGTTTCCTCGTTCCCCATAGTACGCCTTCTCCACACGTTGCAGCAGTTTGGTCAGAGATTTTAACTCCCTCTGCATGGCTGCTCTGACGTCACGCATGTGGCGCGGGGGCGTTGCGGTCAAGGCTTGCAGTCCGCTCATGTCGGGCTAGAGAAGAGAAAAATATGTGGGGGTGGGGGCGGTAGAAATTGAAGTCTGACCATAATAATAGAGAGAAAAGAAAAACATGTTTGTGGTGCTATGGTTTGCATTTTCGTTGTGAATGTTAATGATTAATTACGTTAACTTTTCTCTCGTGAGAAATATTATATTATTTGCAATATCTTCATGTGTGTGTGTGGTTGGGGGGGGGGAGGTCGTTTGTTTTGGGGTTTTTTTTCTTTTTTGTATCCCACAAATCATGGATTGTCCCTGATAGGCAGAGTGGAACTATCATCATACATTATTTTTTTTAATGTGTCGATGAGGACATAAAATAATCACAACAAAAACATTGAAAAAAAAACACGAAGAGTCGTCTTAATGTGTCTGGCGTAGATGGGTATACATTTGATCAATACACTTTTCCCTGTACTTCTTACAAAGTGTCTATTCGGGCCTATATGCCACCTTTGGACTAGCAGCCCCGAAACGACAAAGTTCGTTTCCCTGTTAGAGTGAAAAGCCCCTAAACGGCATTAAAACTCCCCAAAACAAAGTATAATAATATAGTTTAAAATAATCTGAGACCACTTGTATAGAAAAAGGTCCAAGACCAAGCTGATACAACAAACGTGGGTCTTTTTTGTTGTTGTTATTGTTGTTGTTGTTGTTGTTCAGTTGTTGTTGTTGGGGGGGGAGGCGTTTTGGGGGGGTGTAATTTCAATATAGGATCCGCTTAAATCTTCAACTTTTAAAATTTACATAATTTATGTTATAACTCAGTAAGTTAAGTAAATGCAGAATGGCCTTTTGAAAGACTCAGATAGTATGTATTAAAATGTGCGATCAATAGTTTAGGTTCATAGGTATATTGGTTTTTACTAACAGGGTTTTAAGAGCATTCAAGCTGAGAAATTTGGTGGTGAACAATGCCAACCGATGTCTGTTTGAGATCTGCTCTGATGATCACCTATCCAAGACAATCTCAACGGCCAATTCCCATCCCTTTCACCCTTGCGTATTTTAACATTACATGTATAATGACACTGTCCAAAACATCCACTGGTCTAAACAACCTCTCTCCCTTTCGATGATAGGAGGCCGTCTTGGACAGTTTCGGCTAAAGCTATTAGCCTAGAGTAATTACCTGAAAGGCTGACTCCGGTCCGAAGGCATTTTTCGTGACGAGAGTGGGCATGCGGTGGTCGAGAACTGGTCGGAGCTGTAGGGGGAAAAGGAGAAAAAAACATGATGTACTTTGTCATAAATGCAAAATACAAGAAAAAAGACTCCGCCCCTCCTCCGTTCGAGTTACTTCTTTTTATAATTTTTAAAAGGAACAGGGGAGGGAGATTGGTTCAGGGT